AAGTTATGCACTGGACAATAAAAAGTAACAAAGGGCAAAAACTTTTAAATGAGTCCAGAAAGAGTTATGATTTCTGTACACTGTGCTTCCTCTCAATATACTTGACCATTGTATGAAATAGTATTGAATTCCAACTAGTAGTTTTCAAGTTATGCTCTGCACAAGAAAAAAGCAATGGAAAAGTAACAAAGGGCAACTCTATAATTACTCTGGACAGAGTTATAGTTCTTGTGCACTGCACTTCCTTTTATTGTGCTTGATCATTGTATGAAGTTTTTTTGAATTCCAACCAGTATGTTTTACGTTATGCTCTGGACAAGGAAAAGTATCAAAGGGCAATAACTCTGTAATTTTTCAAAATGGTGTTATGGTTCTTGTGCAATGCACTTCCTCTTAATGTGCTTGACAACTGTATGAAGTTGTATTGAATTCCAACCAGTAGTTTTCAAGTAATGGTCCGGACAAGGAAAAGTAACAAAGGGCAGTAACTCTGTAATTAGTCAAGATAGAGTTATGGTTCTTGTGCACTGCACTTCCTCTAACAGTGCTTGACCATTGTATGAAATTATATTGAATTCCAACCATTTGTCTTCCAAGTTATGCTCCGGACAAAAAAACAATGGAAAAGTAACAAAGGGCAATAACTCTGCAATTAGTCAAGATGAAGTTATGGTTCTTGTGCACTGCACTTCCCCTTATTGTGCTTGACAATTGTATGAAGTTGTTTTGAATTCCAACCAGTAGTTTTCAAGTTATGCTCCGGACAAGGAAAAGTAACAAAGGGCAGTAACTCTGTAATTAGTCAAGATGGAGTTTTGGTTCTTAGGCACTGCACTTCCTCTCAATGTGCTTGACCATTGTATAAAATTATATTAAATTCCAATCATTTGTCTTCAAGTTATGCTCCGGACAAAAAAACAATGGAAAAGTAACAAAGGGCAATAACTCTGCAATTAGTCAAGATGAAGTTATGGTTCTTGTGCACTGCACTTCCCCTTATTGTGCTTGACAAATGTATGAAGTTGTTTTGAATTCCAACCAGTAGTTTTCAAGTTATGCTCCGGACAAGGAAAAGTATTAAAGGGCAGTAACTCTGTAATTAGTCAAGATGGAGTTATGGTTCTTGTGCACTGCACTTCCTCTCTATGTCCTTGACGATTGTATGATGTTATATTGAATTCCAACCATTAGTCTTCAAGTTATGGTCCGGACAAAAGAAAGCAATGGAAAAGTAACAAAGGGTAATAACTCTGTAATTACTTTAGATAGAGTTATGGTTCTTGTGCACTGCACTTCCCCTTATTGTGCTTGACAATTGTATGAAGTTGTTTTGAATTCCAATCAGTAGTTTTCAAGTTATGCTCCGGACAAGGAGAAGTAACAAAGGGCAGTCACTCTGTAATTAGTCAAGATAGAGTTATGGTTCTTGTGCACTGCACTTCCTCTCAATGTGCTTGACCATTGTATGAAATTATATTGAATTCCAACCCATTAGTCTTCAAGTTATGGTCCGGACAAAAGAAAGCAATGGAAAAGTAACAAAGGGCAATAACTCTGTAAAATTACTTTAGATAGAGTTATGGTTCTTGTGCACTGCACTTCCCCTTATTGTGCTTGACAATTGTATGAAGTTGTTTTGAATTCCAACCAGTAGTTTTCAAGTTATGCTCCGGACAAGGAAAAGTAACAAAGGGCAATAACTCTGTAATTAGTCATGATGGAGTTATGGTTCTTGTGCACTGCACTTCCTCTCAATGTGCTTGACCATTGTATGAAGTTACATGACTTCAAACCATTAGTTTTCAAGTTATGCTCCGGACAAGGAAAATGCAACGGACCTCTGGACCGACCGACAGACCAACCGACCACCGGGTGACTCCTATATACCCCCCCAAACTTCGTTTTTTGGGGTATAAAAATGAAATATATAAATAGATAAACTAAGTGAACCAGTACCATCAATATAACCCCATTAAATGAACCTAACACATGTTCATCATTTCTGCGGTTTCTATAAAAAGTTGCTCCAGGGGCTGCATGGCAATAAAATATTCAACAGATTCCTTGTAATGCACCAGTTACTCTTGTATTCAACATTTTTATGCCTACTTAGCAATTTTATCATCAAATTTCAAGTGCCCTTTACCTGCACCAACTGCCTTTTCCATCAAAACTTTTCAAAAAACAAAAAAATCACGTTTTACCTTTTGGCAATATTCTAATGAAAGCTCTTCATTATATTCTAATTTATGAGTAATATCAGTTTTCTGTAAACCTTCACTATTTCTTAGTATCTTAAACCTTTGAAATACAATACAATAATATCTTGTTGCAAAAAAGGGAAATGTAACTTTATTCTGGATCAATCCCTATTCTAGGTGGAACAAGCTTACTATAATAATCCCCTTGACCCCGACATCCAAAGCTCTAACTAGATACATGATATTTTTTATGAAATCTTTTTAAAAGCAGTCAAACAAAGTTGTGACTTTTTTCTAGGTATTCCATTCTTTTATTCTTACTTTAATGAGGCAGGCCAAAGGAAATACACATTACCAATAAGAAAATAACATATTCTGGCTTTTCCATGACACAGGTCTCAGATCGTATGGGCATTTTTTCACTTCCTTAGACATAGACTTAAAAGAGATACAAATGAAATGTCACAAAAACTGTTTGTGCTGCAAGAAGGCCTCCTGAAGCCATGTCAATAATAAAGTAACTATTAGCATGTCTTTTCCTCATTTAATCATGTTAGAAACACACATATAACTAAACATTTCATAGTATAAGAAACAGGAATATCATGAAATATACCAGTCACATTTTCTGATATCTTCAATGTTAAACAAGGCAGCATTTTGAGGACAGAAAAAAAAATACAACTGTACTACATAGAATTTATTTGTAACTTATAAGCATATAAATATTCAATTTCTAGCAATTTAAAACTAAATTTATATACTTTAAATGATTAACCTCTGTCTTTTACAAGTATTGAGAAATATAATTTAAGAAATATACATGTATAATCATGGCCCAGTTAATTTTAACATACAGAATCTGATGGCTACAGAAATACAATCACAATAAAATATGTACCATTTACGTATAATATGGCTCCATATACTTAAAATACTGTCATAAAAAATGTCTGTTGCAATTTTTATTGCTTATCATAGCACTTTATAAATTTCTTTTTAATTAGAAAAGTGAAAAAAGCCATAAAAACTTCATACATATGATAATTTATGTTGGACTTTTACTAAAGTGAAGAATTACAGATCCCCTTAATATTCAAGTTCTTGTGCAATGAAATTATGACACTAAGATTTTGCTAAATTTTAAATGTATTTTTTCAATAAAAGAGACATTTAAATGGCTTCACATGAATAAGTTATTTATATGTAAATTGTGAAATAAATCGGTCAGGATACAATACTGGACTGGAACACAGGCGCAAAACCTATACCAGCACTTCATCCAATATAGTTTTGACAGTTGTGTACTTTAATAGAATTCAAGTATTGTACTCAAACAATCTCTATTAATCCCCTCATTAAATGACTTGGTAATTTATATTTCTATGATCTTAAAATATACGCGTTATAGAAGTGTGGCATTAATAGCTTTTAGGCAACATAGAACAATATAGCCATAGATTTGTACATCACGTTTGTTCAACACACAATGATTATATCGTCAAATGCAAAAAATTATAAATGGTTTCCACAGTACTGTTTGGATCTGGTTATGAATTAGAGGAGGGTGACTTCATGTAGGTTAATAGATTTAAGGTTCAGGTTCATCACAGAACTGCACTAGCAGAAGAAAAATAATTTGCGTTACCACTTATTCGTTAATGACTAAGAGGGTCCTCGAGTCAATAGGACGCACATACGCCTGACATTTTGTAACAAGACTTTACCTATATCAAACCCCATTCGTCTAATCGTCAGAAAAGTACGGATTATATGAAGTTCACAATGCATGTTGAATGCCAACTCCCCTAACCCAACTTCCGCTATTGTGGTAACACCGTGATACTTTCACCCTTTTAGTATTTTAAAAGAGTGCACCTTAATTATTATTATGAGCAGACGCAGAGGATAACTTGTTTTGCAATGTAAAGAAAACGTAAGATCTCAGTATGTTTTCTCTTGGTTATATGAGAAAAAACACATGATCGAAATCCACAATTAAGAAGGATGGCATTAGGGAGTCGCATACATCAAAGAAGATAAATGTACTAACTGTTTTAATTTGTTTAAGCAAGCAGTAGCTATGTGTTCACGCCTCATTAAAGCATTATGCAGCAAGTATTAATGGCCTATGAACCTCCGAATTTGGAAGGCCTCTAACCTACTTGATTCAATTGCGGATATCAGAGGAGTGGCACTTAGGGACTTCTGTTCATAATTTGTGATCTATAAATTTCTTTTAACATTATGGGCTTTTACTATTAACCGTGGTGCCATGAAATAATCTTTGCGTGACTCTGTAAAAACAGTAATGCAAGACTGTGCATCATATTTCCTGTGATATGGACTTTGACCTTTTGAAGACATAAAAACAGCATAAAAATGTGGGCTAGAAGTTGTATTCCTAATCATGCTGAATAAAATAATATAAATGCTGCGAGGAGATGCGCATAATTATCACAACTCAATAATATTATCTTTGAGTTCTTATAATCGGGTTATACAATATATATTAGTATGAATCTATTGTGGGATTCATAAACCAATATCTTCTCTGATTTATGTAAAAAGTGAATTAGTCACCAAAATCAGTTTCAGGTTAGGTAAAATCAAGGTACTTTTAAGAGTTAAACATGAAAGGACCTTTATTGTCTTAATATTGGAGAGACCACTGCCACCAAACTTTTCTTAATGACATCATTACACCTCCTGAGACACAGTGTTTGTGCAGGTTCAGCATTTCACACATCTCTTTCCTCATTCAGCCTGAATCGCTGGTTAAACTGACTTTTAACCTACAGTGACATCTTCCTCTGCTGTACACCATCACCACAACGTCACACTGCAGCTGTAATGTAGAATAACACAACTTTGGAACTGTAATACTCTTCACATTGAATGGTTAACTCCTAATTAAACTTTGAAAATGTTAGGATTTAACCAAAAATTATGACAACTGGCAACACTGATAGAAACATTTTTTGTGATGATCAAATGGAAAGAAAGTATTTTAGTCCACAATATTACTTCCTGGTAGTTCTTATAATGAACAAACTTCTGTGTCCACACTATAAATTAGTACACTTTAAGCAAGTTAAACTTAACATAACATGTACATGTATTTTGATCATAATCAATATTACTATAAGGTGTCCTATTGAAGTTTTTACTATGAAATTATCACGGAATGTACTCTTAGGCCAAGAGAGGAATTACTTCCGATAGCTTGTGACGCCTTGAAAGCAACTATAACAATATTCCTGTTCTTTAATGGTATGGTATAATCATAATCAAGCAATTAATTAGCAACATGGCGTAACTTTTAATTTGAAGCAAAAAATTTTAACTTACAGATATGCCCCACACAACCACTTGTTGTGTCAATCTTATATGACTTTATGTTCAAATATTTTTTTGGACTACAGTGCCACATATTGAAAACTAATGATCTTTTAACTAAGTAAAAGGGCAAGAACTTTGCAAATACTGAATAAATCCTACACAAACCCCAAGGTGTCTAAGTACACAAGTCATGCTGACCACATTCTTTATTTAGTAAAAAACTTTCAGGACTACAAGTCAAAGTACATGCTTTTGAGCTATGCATGCAACAACGTTGAAAAATGGCAAATTATACTACTGCTTGGTCAAAAGCTTGGCATCACTCAAGGGACAGGCTGAAACATTAGATTTGCATTGAGATGAAAATGCCCTATTGCCTCCGCATTAATATTCAACAAAACTTAATTAATAAGTGTAGGAACATAGATTTTTTTTGTGTTTCTATAACTCTCAATGAAGATTGTCAATAATGCTATAATCCCTGACCTATCTAATTCCTTATTATCAAGATTAGTGGTTAAAAATCTACTGTTAAACTCAATTAAAAGATCAGAGTAGGAATATTTTCATGTACTTGAGTCTAGTGAAATTGGTGGTGAAGGTTCATATTTCACACAGTCCTAAAATTCTTGACTGCATAAAGGACAACATGTAATACACTTATGTCAAAAGATCTAGGTCAGCTGATAAATCAAAGTTCACTTTTAATTTGACACCTGGTAGGCAAAATTTGAACAACTTTGAGTTGAGTACCTATAAATGATATCATTTAACAAAATATTAAAGCTCTAAGCCTTGTACCTTCAGACAATAAGATTTTTTGAATTTTTTTTCTATATGTATATTTTGAAAATCAATACCCCAGGGCTATTATTTGAACATTCTTGCTATAGAGTTCACTTCACAATGTTTCATGCAAAGTATCTAACCTCTAGCATTTGTCAATTGCTAGAAGAAATGTTTTTAAAGTTTTTACTATAAGTTTTACAATAAGTTTAATTACTATGTAAATATGAGGAAAATCAATGACCCCGGGCCGGGCCGATTTAGACCCAAGGGGCTATAATTTGAACAATCTGTAAGAGGTCTATCAGACAATGCCTTATGCAAAATACTAAGCTCTAAGGCCTTTTGGGTCTTTACAAGAAGGTATTTTAAGTTTTTACTTATATGTACATACAGTTAAAATCCATGACCCCCAGGGCAGGGCCAATTTTGACCCCAGGGCTATAATTTGAACAATTCTTGGTAAGAGGTCCTACCAGACAATGCCTTATGCAAAATAATCTAAGCTCTAGGCCTTTTGGGTCTTTACAAGAAGGTATTTTAAATTTTTTTACTATCATGTACATACAGTAAAATCCATGACCCCCAGGGCAGGGCCGATTTTGACCCCAGGGGCTATAATTTTGAACAATATTGGTAGAGGTCTACCAGACAATGCCTTATGCAAAATATCTAAGCTCTAGGCCTTTTGGTCTTTACAAAAAGGTATTTTAAGTTTTTACTATATGTACATATAGTGAAAATCAATGACCCCAGGGGCGGGGCCGATTTTGACCCCAGGGCCTATAATTGAACAATCTTGGTAGAGGTCTACCATACAATGCTTATGCAAATATCTAAGCTCTAGGCCTTTTGGGTCTTTACAAGAAGATTTTCTAAATTTATATTCTTATAATTCCTTTTGGTTGCCATGGCAACCAGATTTCTGCATGGAATAAAATTCTTTGAACAACTTTGGAAGCCCTTCACCAAAGGATTAATCCTGGCAAGTTTGGTTGAAATTGGACAAGTGGTTTTTCACAAGAAGATTTTTTAAGTTCACTATATAATCTATATAACACACACACACACAAACAAACAAACACACACGCACACACAGGTGAATCGCTATATGCCACCGCATCGCAGATGCTGCGGAGGCATAAAAATCCACATGCATAGCTTCACAGTGATGTTGATCATTATTCCTGTAATTTAGTGATGTTGATCATTATTCATGTAAAGTTGGTTGATTCTAACACAAGCACTCAATGAACAAATAACACAACATAATGAAACAGTTTTTACTTAGTCAAGGGCAATTACTCTACAAATACTGGATAAAACCACAAGCGAAACCCAAGGTGCACAACTGCATATGCTGAGCATTCCCATAAGGTTTCATGACTCTATGTCAAATCCTTTTTGAGCTCCATGCAATACAAGTTGAAAATTACAAAATTTTACTTAGTCAAGGGCAATAACTCTAAAAATACTTATAAATCCACACAAATATACCCAGGTGCACAACTACACAAAAGTCATGCTTATCAACATTCCTGTAAAGTATCATGACTCTAGGTCAAATGCTTTTTGAGATCCATGCGACACAAGTTGAAAATTGCAAATTTTTACTAAGTCAAGCCCAATAATTCTAAAATATACTAAATAAATCTGGAGGAAAATACCCATGTGCACAACTTCACATGCTTATCAACATTCCCGTAAGGTTTCATCACTCTAGGTCAACTACTTTTTGAGTTACATGCGACACAAGTTGAAAACTGCAAAATTTTACTAAGTCAAGGGCAATAACTCTAAAAATACTAAATAAATCCACAGGAAAATATCCAGGTGCACAACTACACATGCTTATCAACATTCCTGTCAAGTTTCATGACTCTAGGTCAAATGCTTTTTGAGCTACGTGCAACACAAAAGAGAACAGACTGACAGATGGATGGAACGACGGACAGACATACAAGGGTAAATCTAAATCCCCCCCCCCCCCTAAAGTGACACAAAAATATGAATTTTAAGATTAATAATTTCAAAATTTACTTAACAGATCACCACTCAAGGCCCTGTTTTTAAAAAAATTGTTCTGCATCAACATTTAAGATATGATACTTGCTGTACACAAAAGCTTGTTGTTTTGTATTAATGTAAAATATAATAGAACTATAACTGTATATAACTCAATAAGAAGTTAGCATTATATCAAATTTGAGATTCATTGGTTTTTGTTTTTCAAATTCAGAACTATCAAAATATTAAGAAGTTTTCCATTTTCCAGTTCAGAACATTCCAAATTCTTTCAAAATAAATGAATATACTTTATATAACATACCTGACTCCATTTTGAAAACATCCACATGCTTCCTTGATCACGACTGTGATCACGACTACTAGTGTAACACGGAACACCATCGTTACACGACCTACGATACTGCGGTTTCATGCGATACTGGTTCAGACATTGTTCATCATCAACTGGTTTAGTATAACTGTCATTATAGACTGCTTCACAGAACACTTCCTGCACCTGGTCACCTAGCTCACATGTCCTTGAACATGGACCCCAACTTCCAACCTGCCAACGTCTGAAAGTAACAACTTATGGCTTAACATAATATGTATTTTTTTATTATTTCTTTTTGGTTGGGTTTAAATTGCACCTACATTGTATAGGTCATATGACAACTTTCCAGCTTGACTGGGGGAGGAAGACCTAAGGTTTAATTATTTAAGGCACAAACGGGTACCCAGAGTAGATCCACAGCTGTTCCATAAGTTTGCTGAATAACTTCTTGACATGAAAGATTTCTACATCCTACACTCCCATATTCCACAATTTTCTCAGTCTATAAACGGACAGGGTGACAGACGGACAAGGGAAATCTACATACACTCCTCAATCTCAATAAGTATGCCTTAGACTCAAAGTTGTAAAGGTCCTTACTTCAGATAGCACTAACCAGGAATAGGCTTGTTTGGGGTATTATAGCATAAAATCGGCTATTTTCCCCTATTTTGCCCATGTTATAACGGGACCAAAACCATGTGTTAACATAGTCACGCGCTCTTGTTATAGCCCGGTTTCACCTATGCGCAATACATACAGGGCCCAGTAAACAAACAAACAAAAAATGACGATTTGGCCTGTTTGCCGAAGAGTCGTGCGCTCTTGTTATATTGAAATTTATTGATTCGAGGGCCTCAGTCGCATATTCAAGTAACTATGCCGGAAAAACGGCGTTTAGACATCGGTGCTAATCTTGGTTGTCGCCCTTTCTAAGAAACGGACAGAAAATGTTGTCAATGTAAACAAATACAGTAGAATCTACCTGTCATTCAGTTTAACACTCCGATTAACTTACAAAACTAGATAACACAAAATTAATATGAGAAAATGTTTTTTTATTTATGTTAATGTTGATAAATGCTTTTTATATTTCTTTGATAGAATAATGCTTAGTGCCTGATTTTTTAATAAACTTGTTTGCTTGAAAAAAAAAAAAACCGATTCTGATGTCACTGATCTTTTTTCTACCGTCAATCTGAAATCATTCTAAGAATTTCTGAGGGTCATGTTTTGTCTTGGGTAGAGGGTAGAGTAATGTAACGTTTTTTTCTTGAGATAATAAATCTCTAAAGGCCAAGCTTTGTTAAATTAATTAAAATTCAAAATTTCGTTCGGTTCCGAGAATTTTCCAAGTTGTTGGCCCCGGAAAAACGAAACGCATACGTAAAACATAGAATTGGATAAATACCGTCCAAGCACAAGACTTTAATGTAATTGTGTTTTGTATAAACTATACATCACGAATCTGTTTGAAAATTTTATGCTATAATAGCGTCAACGCACGTTTATTTCGTGTTATAAAGTCTGCAGAGTCCCTCGGAACTGTTGGAGCCCTCGCCCTACCGGGCTCGGGCACCAACCGTTCCTCGGGACTCTGCAGACGTTATAACACGGAAAAACGTGCGTTAACCCTATATTGAGGAGCCCCTTCATGATCAAGAGTGTTTCAATTTCTTGATAAAGTTAATATAACTATGCATTTCTACTTTCAATTCCTTAAGCCCTTAACATGCTAGATGTCTGAAATAGACTTGTGCAGCTTCAATTTTCTATAAGTGATTTTGGTAATATCACGATGAAAATTAAAAGTTGGTCAGCATGGATTTGCAAGCTGGCTTGACTTTGTAGTGTACTGGACTCTGGTGGCAAAGTTTCATCACTTTTCACTAGAAGTGTAAAAAATTAATAAAACTATTAATTATGAAAATTTCACCAACACATATGAGGATGAAGGAATAGAGTGGCAGTCTCCTTTATTACACCGTCTGCTGTTTGAAGGTCGAAGTTCAAGGTCACAGTATTCTTGATCCACTGATTCCCTCCTCTCTCTGTCAATACATGATACAATTCTTCTCTGGTACCCTTGATAACAAATATTAAGTATGTTTCATAACTGGCCATCAAATAATATCAAAGTCTGTTTCATTCTGAATGACTTAAAAATTCTGTTGTATATTTGCTTATATCATTTATTATAACCTAAAGCTACAATGGAGAATTCTTATAAACAAATAAAAAAAAATTTCCAAAATTTTCTCATTCAAGGACCAATTGAAGACAATGTACCCAAATCACGCCAACCAGATTCAAAAGACTTTCAAAGGCTGTATTTTGATAAACATATAAGCATAAAGTTCACAGGTGTTATTGGTGAATGTTTTCTTATTTACTGCAAAGAAACAAAAACAGAGTAATCAATCAGATCAATGAGGAGAGCATCAGATTTGTAATCCATAGGTCTCTGATTATAACCTTGGGCAAGGTCAAGTTTTTCTGTGACAATCATGAGGGACACGCAGTCTAGCTGTCAATTGTAGAGAAATTAGAAATGACTGGTTAGTTATCCAGGGAAGCCAGTTAGGTCAACTGACTGCTGAAATATGTCCAAAGATATTTTGAAATTGGCATATTAAACCAGACAAAAAAGCAAGATATAACATTTAAGTTTTTTATCTCACCTGCACCACATTTATTGGAGCACTCTGTCCATTGACCATGTGACCACATATATCTCTGGTTCCCATACTCCACTGAACTAGTTCCCGGTCCCCGGCTTTCTAACTCCATTCTGTCTTCACCATTATCATTTGTTCGGTATTTTATTTCATTAGCAATGTAAGACCTAAAACCCTCTTCACCGATCGCTCCATCAGTAGTTGCTTCAGTTGGTGTTTTTGTTGTCACTTCTTCAGAGTTATTCTTGGAGTGTACCTTTCCTGATTTGTCATATACATTATTGGTGATTGAGTTGGCACCACCTAGTACTTGTATTGCATTCTGGTATACAAACTGCTTTTGATTTTCATTACTGCTATCTCTTTTCCTGTTATATCTGCTAAAGTCATTATTATTCACTGGTCCGCGTCTTCTGTCTACAACCCGTACATTTGTTTGGCCATAATTTCTTCTACTAGGTAAATGACTAGTGCTTACACGTATATTGCTGGGTTTTTTAAGTGTTTTTTCAATTTCAGTAATTTTCATGTTTTCATCTTCAGTTCTTGTTTGTGAGGTATTACTTTGGAATTTTGAGTCGACTTTTGGTAACTTGTAACTGTAACGTATACCTGGATTGACCTCCCCTTCATTTACAGCCTGAAATATATTCATTCTAGAATTTATACCAAAATGCCTACAAAAGCTTAAGTAATTCCTTATATTTAACCCTTTCCCCCATGCGCATATTGTGAAAAATGGCCATTTTCACTGAAAAGCCTCCTCTTACAAGTTCAAACTGCTATGAAACTATGAAAAATGCTTCAATACTAATCAAACTTGGCACAAATGTTGACTGGACCATTGCCTTTGTAACAACATGCTCAGTCTTAAATTTCCTGTTACCATGGCAACGAGGGGACATCTCAAAATTTCCAAAAGTGCTGCAACTTCTCAAGGGATTGAGATAGAGTCAAAGGCTTTTCAGCGTTGATTACACGTTACCTTATGATCGACCTGGGGTCATTTTATTTTAGCCTCTCACAAGTCCAAAATTTTCTTGGCGATGAGGGGCACTCCGCCCCCCTTCAAACCCCCCAAACAGAAGGGGGCACATCCCCCTTCTGGCAACCCCCTGATCTTTTGGATGGGGGGCGGCGCCGAAAAAATGCTCACTTTTTTTAGAAACATTTCATAGGACATTTTTTCACTATTTCAGGCCTAAAAAAAGGGGGGGAGGGTCGAAAGTGTGTTGTTTCGCGTATATATGAGGTAAAGGGTTAATAGGATCAAGTGTTGTGTGCATAGTATCATTCAGTGAATTAGTTATATCAAAATTAATGGGTCATCTTTTGGCAAATTATAACTGTTATTAGGGCATGAATGGTGATATTTCCGGAAGGTCTGTATTCGGACGGATGATCTCTCATTAAGCTTAGCATACATATATCAAGTGGTCTCAAATCATTTTACCAGTACTAACCTGATAAGGATTTAACGTTTTTCATTTGAAACAATTGTGGCAGAAAAATGACAATTTAACAAAATTTAATTACATACTTTCTTCTAAAAGAAAAAAAAATCTGTTAAAAAGGAATTAAGTACATCTATAAATAAAGAAGCTTGATTTTATCTGCCTTTCAAATAAATTTGATGCATTCTCACATTATCTAGCGATAAAAAGTGGCAGCATGGCCAAGAGGGTAACACATCAGACTAGTACTATATGGATCACTGGATTGCTAATCGGATGGGTTTAAACCTATCAGGGGAAATCCATTGTTTCCTTGAACAAGAAATTTTACACTTAAGAGTACATGAAATTTCAGGAAAGGAGATTAAAGGCTTATTATGCTTCAAAAATGCTTTTAATTTTATTTACCAATGTGTGTGTATTTGAGTTTATTTATACTCGCCACAGGTTGCCAATATGAGCAAGTCCTCCAGAAGAGTATTAGTCATTTATATTTTTGGAGGATAGTGCAAGATACAGAAAGATGCCACAATTCCAGAAGCTTCACCTGGTTCTTTAGCATGCCAAGTGTTTAAGCACTCATACAAGGGACCTTGATTTAAAGTCTCATCCGAAAGACTGATTAGTAATTTTGGTTGGCCAGCCCAGGAATCGATCCCACAATGTTGAGATTACAAGTCTCGCGCTCTAACCGATTGAGCTATGTGGGCTGGCTTTATTACCAAATTTACCTAAAGCATATAACATACTTTTATAGTATCTAAAAAGTTACTCATTGTAATACATGAACCATCTTTTTCATTAGTTGCTTTTTGGCAGTAAGTACAACTAAAATGAAACCGGTATTTTGTACGGAAGTCAAACTACTACTTTGTTTACATTTTGCTACTTTGCTACAACTGTGTTGTACTATACTGTAATTTTTCAAAAATATTTGATTGTAATGACATTATCATGTATTTCACATATATAAGTCCTGAGGGAAGTTCTTACTATAATGATAGAGACGATAAAAACGGTATCAATGAAATGTTTAGTCATTTTGAACAAATTACATATGAATACCCGGACACCATGTTATTTTTGTCAGGTGACCTTAATAGTCGATGTAAAAATTTTTTAGACTTTATCCCATGTGATAATTTAAATTTTATTTTTGGTAATACTGACTATAATGGTAGTACTTTTGATATTGTACGTCATAGTAAGGATAATATACGTGGCAATAATTATGGTAAATGTTTAGTAAACTTATGCTGTATTTTTGATATTCATATACTTAATGGTCGTTTTCCAAGCGATAAAAACGGTGAATTTACTTGCTTCTCAAATGATGGATCGAGTGTTGTTGATTTTATGATCGCATCTTCTTCTCTATTTTCATACATTAAAGATTTTGAGGTTCTTACTAGAGATGAATCTGATCATTTTCCTATATGTTGTACTTTTGTGTTCCATAAAAAGTCTAATAACGCAGATAGCCAAACTGCTCAAATATCATTGAACACTTTTGATAGATATAAATGGCATGTGTCTGCAGGTACAGATTTCTTGCAAAAATTTAGGGAATTGTTTCATAACCATTACACGATGATAATGGAATCAGTTGATAACTCTGTCAATTCTGCGGTCGACTGTATTACTTCTATTTATAAAGATGCTGGAAAATGCATGCTTAAGAAATTTTGTTTTCATTCGTCTCAACCTCCGTGGTGGGATAACACATGTAATGAGTTAAAAGCAAACAAATACGCGGCGCTACGCGCATTTAGATTAAGTAATTCCTCGTCTGACTTACGAATATATAAAGATAAACGAAATAGGTTTAAAGACTATTGTAATGTACGAATATCTGAATATCAGAAATCTAATCGATTAGAACTAGTATCAAACAGTAACAACCCAAGTTCTTTTTGGAAATTAGTGAAGAAAGGCAAAACTGTTACTATGTCTGATCCTAGTATTTCTTGTACAGAATGGTTCAATTATTTTAAAGATTTGTTGTATGACGAAAATTCAGTGTTTGTTGATCCTTATATTGGAAACGAACATGATTCCGCCGATGAAACAGCTCAGACATTAAATGAACCATTCACTTTGCTAGAAATTAAACATTCTATATCTAAATTAGTTAATAATAAAAGTTGTGGCCCAGATGGCATACCTTCCGAATTTTATAAACATACATCAGATGAAATAGCGCCTATTCTGCATACACTATTTAACAAAATACTCGAAACAGGGCAATTTCCAATATCTTGGAGAAATAGCATGATTACACCAATTCATAAATCAGGGCCAAGTAATAATCCTGGTAATTATCACGGCATATCTATTACAAATACATTATATAAAGTCTTTACAGGTATTATAAATAAAAGATTATACGATTGGGCCGAAAATCAAAGAAAAATCGATGAATCTCAGGCAGGATTTAGGCGTGGTTACTCGGCTATCGATAATGTTTTTTGTCTACAAGCTATGGTTCAAAAATATCTTTCTAAAAAGGGTGGCCGCTTTTACTGTCTCTATGTTGATTTCAGTAAAGCATTTGATAAAGTGAATCATTCTAAACTTTTCTTGTCACTTGAAAAGAAGGGCGTTTTTGGAAATTTTCCTCGAGTTTTGAAATCAATGTATTTTCATCTCTCTTCATGTGTTAAAACAACTGATTTGTTTAACAATGTTATGATTACTGAATTATTTCCCTGTAACATTGGTACAAGGCAAGGTGATAAGACAAGTTCGACAATTTTTACATTATTTATAGACGAGTTATCTTCCATTTTAAGAGAGAAATGTGGCACAGGCATTTTCATTACAAATGATATTCCTGATATTCTTTGTTTAATGTTTGCAGATGATGTTGCAAATTGTGCTGAAACTGCTACAAAATTACAACAACAACTTAATGTAATTGATCAATTTTGCTTGAACACAGGCATGGAAATTAATCTTGATAAAACAGAGATAATTGTATTTCGAAATGGAGGTCGTCTTCGTAATTATGAATCTTGGTCTTTTCGCGGTCAGCCTGTAAATACAACTGCTGTTTATAAATATATGGGTTTGTTATTCACTCCACAACTATCATGGAATGTAGCTCATGATAAACTAGCTTCGCAAGCTCAAAGAGCAATTTTTGCTATCAAAGGTTATGAAAAACCATTTGGTAATTTTCCCATAAAGGAACACTTTAAAATTTTTGATACAATGATCAAACCTATTCTTTGTTATGGATCACAGATCTGGGGGTATGAATTTAGTCCAACTATAGAATCTGTTCATAATATGTTCTGTAAGGGTTTATTAAATGTTCGAAAAAATACAAATACAAGCATGGTGTTAGGTGAATGTGGTAGACTCCCACTTTTTATTACTTATTATACAAATTGCATCCGTTATTGGTGTAAGCTATTAGTTATGCCACCATACCGTTACCCAAAACAATGTTATTTAATGTTAAAATCACTAGATGAAGCTGGAAGAACTTGTTGGGCTAGCAAAATACGAATACTTTTATACAGTTACGGATTTGGTTACATTTGGATTTCTCAAGAAATAGGAGATGTGAATATTTTTGTTAGCATTTTTAAACAACGCATAATAGATTGTTATACTCAAAATTGGCATGATAATATTAACAATGCCAGTAGATGTCACCATTATTGTTATTTTAAAAGCTTATTAAATGTAGAACGGTATCTTCTTATAGAAATCCCTGTAAAACATAAGAAAGCATATGCTAAATTTCGATGTTCAAATCACAAACTTAATGTTGAAATCGGTAGGCATTTAAATATACCTTTTTAAGAACGCTTTTGCAACTTTTGTCTTGAAAATCATTTAACTTATCATATTGACTGTGAATATCATGCTTTTTTTCATTGTAAAAAATATTTAGAAATTAGAAATACCTATTTACTAAACTGGTATAATTCCGGAAATGAATTACATAACTTTTATGAATTAATCTCATCAAATGATATTTTTATAATTAAGAAAATCTCTACTTATATTTACCACCTCACGATATCTATAGCACAGTAGCATTTAAATGTAATGATTGTCAAAACTTGTAAAAGACACAACCTTATAATGTTAAATATCATATTTTGTATGACATGTATTTTGGGCCGGTGGCCTTTATTTACAGAATAAATCTTTTGACTTGACTTGACTTGAC